ATTAACTCGCTGATTTTTATGTAAATTCGGCTATTTTTATGTTGAGTAATGTCTGTTTTATTTTTTAAACAATATATCGCGAAAATCAAGTATTGCTGTGAAAATTATTAAGACAATTTAGCAAATTAACTCGCTGATTTTTATGTAAATTCGGCTATTTTTATGTTGAGTAATGTCTGTTTTATTTTTTAAACAATATATCGCGAAAATCAAGTATTGCTGTGAAAATTATTAAGACAATTTAGCAAATTAACTCGCTGATTTTTATGTAAATTCGGCTATTTTTATGTTGAGTAATGTCTGTTTTATTTTTTAAACAATATATCGCGAAAATCAAGTATTGCTGTGAAAATTATTAAGACAATTTAGCAAATTAACTCGCTGATTTTTATGTAAATTCGGCTATTTTTATGTTGAGTAATGTCTGTTTTATTTTTTAAACAATATATCGCGAAAATCAAGTATTGCTGTGAAAATTATTAAGACAATTTAGCAAATTAACTCGCTGATTTTTATGTAAATTCGGCTATTTTTATGTTGAGTAATGTCTGTTTTATTTTTTAAACAATATATCGCGAAAATCAAGTATTGCTGTGAAAATTATTAAGACAATTTAGCAAATTAACTCGCTGATTTTTATGTAAATTCGGCTATTTTTATGTTGAGTAATGTCTGTTTTATTTTTTAAACAATATATCGCGAAAATCAAGTATTGCTGTGAAAATTATTAAGACAATTTAGCAAATTAACTCGCTGATTTTTATGTAAATTCGGCTATTTTTATGTTGAGTAATGTCTGTTTTATTTTTTAAACAATATATCGCGAAAATCAAGTATTGCTGTGAAAATTATTAAGACAATTTAGCAAATTAACTCGCTGATTTTTATGTAAATTCGGCTATTTTTATGTTGAGTAATGTCTGTTTTATTTTTTAAACAATATATCGCGAAAATCAAGTATTGCTGTGAAAATTATTAAGACAATTTAGCAAATTAACTCGCTGATTTTTATGTAAATTCGGCTATTTTTATGTTGAGTAATGTCTGTTTTATTTTTTAAACAATATATCGCGAAAATCAAGTATTGCTGTGAAAATTATTAAGACAATTTAGCAAATTAACTCGCTGATTTTTATGTAAATTCGGCTATTTTTATGTTGAGTAATGTCTGTTTTATTTTTTAAACAATATATCGCGAAAATCAAGTATTGCTGTGAAAATTATTAAGACAATTTAGCAAATTAACTCGCTGATTTTTATGTAAATTCGGCTATTTTTATGTTGAGTAATGTCTGTTTTATTTTTTAAACAATATATCCCATTGGTAAAGAGGATTTTTCTCATTTATGTTAACTCGTTCTTACGCAAATTTTTATAAACAGAAATTTGCATAAAATATATGCGTACCTATCATGTGTGACAAATAATTGACACTTTGTCTAAGAATTATTGAAGATACGTTTCTCTTTTATCTATAACGATGAAAAACAACTTTCTGAATGTAAGGTACGAATAATTTCGTTCTCTTTTATTATCGTTTTCTGCAAGCACCAGATAAAGTAGCGTTTGAGGCACGTCGCGGTGTAAGTACAGTCGTTCAAAGAAGTATTTCAATACAGACACATGAATTTTACGTTGAGGAATTACTGAATCGTTCAAGAAATGATGACTGCGAATTTTATGCATTTATGTAAAAACAAAGAAGATCGAATACAAAATAAAATATCTATGTAGCTCCTGCATTTTACAATTAGTAAAATTACAGTCTTACTATTTGATTAAAATTATTAAAAGAAGAAATACATTTTTATTTAACTTCTGTTTCTTAGAATTAAATTAGAATAAGTTTGATTTTGTATAAAGTTCCTCAGTCCAGTTATTAATATGTTATTTATACTATGGAGAATGGGTTTTGTCAGTGCACTGTAGAGCACTCTGTGTTGTTGAAACATTTGGTAGTTTAATAAATAAATCACAGAGAGCTGAGATTGGTTTAGCTATGCTGCATACCGTTTTAAACGTTGAATTTTGCAGGACATTTTCTTTATTTCATTTATTTTGTCTTCAATTGTATCTTTTTATTATATCATGTCATATTATTGTAACACGAAGACATTGCTCGCGTTGATCAAATAAATGTATTATTATTATTATAAAAATCATGATTATACGCAGCTAAACCAAAATCAAGATTGAAATTTTAAAGAATTTCAAGATTGAACCAAATGACTTGGACTTTGTTGAGATATTGAACTAACTAGTTTAGTAAACAACGAGCAAAAACATGTTTTACAAAAATTGCAGTTAGTTAGAATGATAAAAAAAAATAAAAAACGTGTGTTCAAGATACTCGTGAATGTCAAGAAAATAACAAATTCGTCTGGTCACATCTCGAGTTTCTCGCCTCGTCCGAAACACCGAGATCTCGATGTTTTCGAGACCTCGCACGCCTCTAATAATATTCGAACCACGAGGCATAAGATTCTCCGTGTTTCATATGGTAAAAGCCGCGAGCAGGAGAGCGTTCGAATACTTTCACGAGCCACTGTATGCGCCTCAAAAGTACACCAAACATTTTCAATTGGCTCGAAAGAGGGGTCGGGCTCGCCGGGTAGCAAGCAAACGGTGAAAACTAGTAAGAACGCATAAAATCGTAAAGAGAAATTCAACGAGCCCCGCAATATACATATGTATATGTATATGTATAACAGAAGACAGCGCACGCGGCCAGGAACGGTGTCGCGAGGAGACGTCGTCGTCGTCGCTACTTTATGCTTGAGAAATGTTCCCGGTACACCTCCAGACTGAAACGTAACAAGCTGCTTTGATCTTCTGACCTTCCCTGCCTCGAGTGCCGGATCATTATTCGGTCGAGGTTTTTATTCCGTGCTCAAAGGGGGAAGGGAGAGCGCCGGCAATTATCATTCGTTTTCTAAATAGAGAGAGGAGCACGCCCGCAGCGGAAAACACGCGGAAAACTCCGAGGATTTATCGTTCCCGCAGTCGCCAGCAATCGTTACATCAAATTAGTCGCCCCTGACGCTATCGTGATCAGAGCTGGATAAAATAGCACATATTTTAGATGGCAAATAGTAAATAAATACTTGACTTTATATAGATCACGCATGTATTCTTGAAAAGGAAATATTTTACTTGTTCGAAAGAATGTACTTCTCAAAATCAATTATTTTATTTATTCGCAAGACTGTACTTTTGGAAAGTATAATATTTTATTTGTTCGAAAGAATATTTTAAAAAAGTAAAATATTTTATTCGTTCGGAAGAATGTGGTTTTAGAAATCAAATACTTTATTCATTCAGAAGACTTTACTTTCGGAAATAAAATATTTTATTTATTCGGAAGAATATACCTTTGCAGATGTAATATTTTATTTGTTCGGACGAATGTACTTATAAAAACGAAACATTTCATTCGTTGTACAAATGTTTTAGGATAATATTTCAAATAACATTTTATCTGAGGAGCACTGAAAATATTTCCGCCATAATTCGGAATATTTTATTTATACATTGAATATATTTATTTATAATTTATACATTAAATAAAGTATAATTGTTTTAATAAGCTGGCACGAACGAAGTACTTTTCTCCTCCATTTTAAACTCGCATAAGAGATGTACGTTATTACATGCGAGCAGCTGTATTTAAAAAGGCAACAAATAGCAAACATTATGATTTCTTACGTTATCTCGCATTACGTTAACGATTTTCACAATTCCTTTTCAGGTTCAAAACTATGCGGAGTATTCTATTTTATGCTTTATGTCATTGAAATAAGAAATATTTTATTTTATGTTTCGGAGATTAATGTCAAAATAAAATACATATTTTCATGCTTTAGCTTTCGTATACCAAAACATGCTATTTTACTTTGCGTGGATAATTCGCGAGAATTTATCGTTTCCGTAGACGCCAACAACCGTTACATGAAATTAGTGGCGCCTGATCGTTCTTAAAGCCGATCTAATGCCGATGGTTAAGCCCGCCGATAGATTTCGTGCTTACGATTAGTAATTAATTGCACGCCGTGGCGCGGATCCGAAAGGTGAAAGCCGATACCCTCGTAAAATCGGTAATTATATTTCTTGCCGTGGTTGTTTCGACTTTTTCGAAGTCGTTTGCAACATCTCGGAGATTGGTGGACATTGATTACTTTCGAAACTGCGGGAGATGAGACGTTTGAATAGACATTCTAATTTAATCGCGATTACAGGTTCTGTTCACTTTTACAATTCTGTTTAGTATAATTCTGCTTAGTTTCGAAACGATTTTACTACGACCATTCTACACTTAATTTTCCCGTAATTCCATGAACAAATTCGTCGATGCACACTTGTATAATTTAAATAATCTTAACATTTCTTTTCAATCATTTCCTGCACAGTTTAAGTGTATGCATAGCGACCTACAAATATGTATATTTATGTAGTCACGTAAAATTTATTGAATGTAATTATACTGTTTTTCTTTTATAACCTTAACTTACCAAAATAATATTCGTATATCAATAAATAATAAATAACGTAAATCAATGACCTAAAAGTTTATTTTAATCACATGTAATGATTTTCACCGAAAATTACTATTGAGAGACCAATAATATTTAATCGAATAACCATTGTCTTTGTGAACAAACATTTCCATTCGTGATAGATTTAGGTGAATATTATTAGGTGAGTCAAGTAATTCCGTAAATTTAAATGTCTATTGCAACTGAAGCGTCTGCTATAATTAAAATATCTACCGCACTTGTACCTTCCAAAAAATTGGACAGGGAGCGATATTTTTCAGGAAAAAGTAATATGAAAATCCTTCAGGGTAAAATTAATTGCGAAATACGTTGTGAACGTGAACGGCGTTACTTTTGTCTGGTTCATGTTTTCGAGAGCCAATTTAATAGAATTGTATATTAGCGTTTAACTTTTTAAAAAGCTGCTGACAGGTAAATTACAATGGTTACTCTGTTTTATTTTTTCAGTGCGTGCAAATGGCGCACGCGTTAAGGCGCATCTCGTACGCAACCTGTGAACCCCAGCACGCACAATTCAGTTTTCTCGCCCGAGAGCCTAGAGCGCACTTCAGCATACAATATTGCCATTCCTTCATTACCAATTCTGCAGAACAGGTAAGTCTATTTTTCATTTAGTTTAGCCTTAGTTTGAAAAAACCTTCGTTCAGCTGTTACGTATCTGTAATCAGTCGCGAAAGTTATATTTTATTCCACTCAGGCATATATTACTCCACTTTGTTCTATTTTAAGCAACTCTTTAAAAAGTGATTTTTAATCGTGAAATAATATTAATCCACTTCGATTCTATTTTAAGCAACTCTTTAAAAAGTTACTTGTAGAAATTCGAAGAATAATTTTAGGCTGTGGATTTCGTACGCAAAATCAAAATCTTCTAACGTAATTGTGAGTCGTAAGAACCGAATAGAAATTAAATTCTTCTTCTATTGGATACATCTGGTAAATCGAGCAGAACGTGATAGCGAACACGATAGATAGTTCTATTGTTTTGCATACACGCATGTCCACAAAGGTTAGGAAACATGTTACACCAAGGCATATTTTTATTTGTAACAGATCTTGTTAACAGAGGATAGAGATTCGTATTGTATCAACGAAAATATTAAATTTATTTCTTCATAGTTTTTAATTTTATTTTGTTTTTACTTTTTTATTCTCCGTATGTACTAAATAAAACAATATTTTAATACAAACAATGTGCCATGTGCTTCCCTATAATACGTGTTTTCAATTCAATGAAACGTATATTTGTCAAAATATTAAATTTTACTGAAATGTTAACTGTCGACGGTAAGTGTATATTTCATGCACTCATAGTTCTGTCATGAATGCAAAAAATCTGCACTCTAATAAGTTACTATGCCTGCAAAGAAATTCGTCGGTACGTGGAAAACCTTCGTGAGTAAAAGTATGTTTACTCCTCAAAGCATGAAACACATAATCACATTTCTTGATCTTGCTGCAATGAATTTATAAATGTCTCCCTTTCATCATGAGTGATTCTAGTAAATTTGAAAACACGATATCATTGAATTTTCCATCTTAAAATGTTTCCTAATTTACCACAATAACAATTCATTTACTCTTCTACTGCACTCAAAAATTCAATTTCTACATACGATGTCTGCATATATTGTTCTCAAATTCTTAATTTCATAATTTACTATTAGATTGCGGATTGTATGCATTTATGCCAAAAAATGGTAGATATACCTTGCAATCGTAAGAAGACTAAATCAATTGAAGACTGTCGATTACATTGATCTTACTGGAATTATTAATCACAGCAGGAAACCTCTGTTTCTTAAAATCAATGGAGGCAATTTGATTTTTCAGAGAGATCCGCGGTCTATTTATTACAACAATATTTATTACAATTTATTACAATCACGACTGGTACATTCCGTCACTGTGCATAAAAATTTCGCTTTAATCCGAAGCGATCTCAGTAAGTTAAAACCAAAACGGCGCGGTACATTAAAAAATTCATCGTGCACGGTTTATTGAAGATTTCTAGAGACCGCGTAAAGTTTCGCGGTAAATTTCATACAGATTCCGAAAGTGGTTAAACTTTTATTTAGTGGAACACGCGGATAAATCGACCAGTGGGGCTGGCTGGTCCTAGTACCCATAGAATGACGAGCGTGTGCCCGTTGTCATATTAAAGTATTCATCGTGCTGTCACAAGCTGTTAAATGACACGGTTTTTATCGGTCGGAGAATATTTCATGCAACACGTGTCGAGCTAAAGTAGAAAAATTCCTCGGTATCCGCTTTATATCGTTGATCGACACAACCTGCGGTAACGCATATCGGATGGGGGAAAGAAAAAACCGAGGGAAAAAGGGGAGTCGCGAGTTGTCCTTGGTGATATTGCATAGTGCATCGCCATCATCCAGGACAAATTGCACCGACACAGAGGAAAGACAGCCGCGCGCAGGATATTACTCGCCGTTCAGAACCACTATGCAAATAAATCGTACACACGTGTCAGAAGTTCTTGATGCGCCCCGTAAACCGGGGCGAAATCTGTTTTAGATTGAACGCCATTATGCTCGTCTCTGATGGATTCACTTTTCCGAACTAGCACGCGGATTAGAGTATTATCGGTAAACCTCTTTCATATTTTCGATTCAGACAATCGGTGCGAAAATGGTTCGTACATTGATTTCCTCGATTTTCGAGAAATCGTCGTTATTCGAACTGTTTTAATTTTCTAAGAAAAATTTGTGCAGCAATAAATCTAAACTTATTCTATCGAATAAAGATCTTTTAAATTTTTATCGTTAAGAAAGAAGGAAAGAAAGAAAGATTTTAGTCGACCTTTACTTGCATTGAAAAATGAAAGAAAGAAAGATTTTAGTCGACCTTTATTCGCAATGAAAAATGAAAGATAGTAACAATACAGTTCACAGGGAATCGTGGATGATTTCAAAAAGTGAAAGAAGCCTGTAAACGTATCATCACAGTAAAATTGGAGCGTAACCCAGAAAACTGCTAATTAGTACAGCTTTATATCACTAGCAGCGCCATTATGTGATGCATACTAACACGCTATGACACTCATTCAACTACATATACATATTGTACATGCGCGATAATGCATTCCATCGCAATCGAAAGGAAAGAGGTCGCACGCGAGTAAAGCGTGTCCAAAAACTTGTATATATTCTTTAGTATCATTCAAAGACGTTATTTTATTAAGTATTTACTTTACACATCCACTAACAATTCCAGAAAACCAGTTATTCTAACAATATTGTGTTGACAATTCTAAAAAAAATATTGTAGTAAATTTCACAGAAAAAGCATTGTACTAATGATTTCATACAAAATAGTATGCTAACAATCCCAGAAAATCTATATTAAACTAACAATTCTAGGAAACCCATTATACTAACAATTCCCGAAAATCGATTATGTTAACAATTCCGGAAAAGATATTGCAATAAATTTTCCAGAAAAAGCATTGTACTAATGATTTCATACAAAATATATGAAACAATTCCAGAAAATATATTAAATTCTTAAAACAGACAAGATAACAATGGAAACTGATCCATTACTTGCACGTAAGAATAACCAATTTTTCCTCTGCACATTTTTCTCATTTCGAATTGATATTTTTCATTAATTATTTGGTTCATCTTACATTTAGAAATGATAAAAGAATCCGAAGAGCGGCAATATGAACTTCAAAATTTTTTACATTTTCCTTGAGAACTGCATTTTTAATCATTCCTAAGTATAACACTTACGAAATATATTTAATAAATAGTACAATATTATAGTATATTAGTGTAATATACAATATTTCAAATTAATATATTTTTAGAAGATTGATTTTTATAATCTTGGCATACACGATACCTCGAACAAAAAATTGTCTAAGCACGAATCGTTTCTGCAACAAATGTTGAGTTTGCACAATAAATTGCTTCCTGATCGAAATTATGTTACAGTTCGATGTAATTTCTTCATCGGAATAAATAAATAAATAAATGAAACAAACAAATGCGGACGTTTTCAGGCGTTTCGAGATCCAGCAGACCGCGGTTGCTACGCCTGCTCAAAGATACGCGATAAGAACAAATGAAACGTGAAACCAAAGTGGGTCGCGCGCATACAGGTCACCGCATATACGAACATCTGGGAAAAGCCAAAGAGGAACGGAATGGAAAAGCGTGAGACCCAGGTGCATAGACTGGGAATAGATATAGCGATTCACAGCAAAACCAGAATTCCAGGTTCTAGCTCGTTGCATTATTGAACCGCCATTATTGTTGCTGTTCTGAGCCGCGAGTGCTCGGCAAGCACTTGACGCGCTCCAGAAACACCATAGCCCATACAGTATAGACACGAATCCATTGTTAAGGGTGCATGAACGGCAATTATGAAATGGGCTCGCATAAGCTCGCGATTCCCACTTCTCTGCCTCGTTTAAGTCTCCATTTCCGGATCTTTTTCCAGTTCAGTAGTTGATGCATTGTTGTAAATACTTTGCAGACTTGTCGTGTATATTGAAACCAGAAGTCGATGTTATTCGAATTGTTTCGAATAAACGTTTATCTAAAGTAATTGTACGTATTAATTTTTTTAAGGAGGATATTTGATTCGAATAACGATTATTCATTATTCGTCATAAATGATTCTATTTATTTATTCGAATAAGTTCTTTGAATAAACATTGTAAAATTATTCAAATAATAATGCGAATAATTAACTGCTTTTGGTTTTAGGTAATTTAAATATATAATTATTTAAATATAAATAAATAAAATTATAAAATTGAATTATATAGAATTATGAAAGATTATTTAGTTATGCATCAATGATCAGTATGGAA